CGCTGGAAAAAATTTCATAAGATATTTTCTGCTTTTTTATGTGGGAATCTAAAATTGCTTTTGAATAAAACTGACTTATCTGAAAAGTATATGTAAATAGCAATATTTGTGGCGCTATCTGTCGAAGAGTTCTTTTTTCAAAAAATATAATTCAGGTTCATCCAGGAAAACCTTTCAGCTCATAAATAGAAAAAGAATAATTTTTTTAATAAAAAGATTCATTCGATGATTTTGCATATATGTCAATTTATATCTATCGCAGCTATTGTTTAATAACAATAGATTTTTCTGAAATTAAGAGATCGCGCAGAAGAAAAGAAACGAAAATGATAGAACATATTACACTTAAGCTCCAAACAGACTAGAAAAGTGAATTAATGTTGAATTTGAATTAAGCAATGCGATTGGTATGTTAAGAGTTAAGTCATCTTTTTGAGACGACTTAACTCTTAATGCATCAATCACATGACTCAATTCAACTTTAAAGTTAATTCAATATTCAGTCTGTTTTGGGTCTTAGCACTGCGCACTGAAATTATCATTGCAATTTTAATCACTGAGAGAAAGGAAACTAAGATAGTCCAACATTAATTACGTAACTTTCAAAAGATGTTCTAACATACTATAACTATTCAAATTTCCATTAAAGAATAAAGCATCTAGCGTTTCTTGACATTCTATGCTGCAAGTGGTCGATATTGAAAAGAAAAAGAAACCATTGTTTCTTTAAAATACTATCGAAAATGCTATAAATACTATTCTTTTTATTCTGTTTCAATGTAACTAAACTTGACAAAGAGATATTATAATACGATAAATGCACTATAAAAGGTGTTACACTTACAACTTTACATTCTTTCAAATCGAAACAGTTTCAAGATTGTCCAGCTGATCTTTAGAGACATAAAAAAGTACATTATTTTTGGTCTGAATGATAAAGTTATATTAATAATAACATCAAATAATTTATTGTTACAAGTTTATTCTTCATGTAACAATAGAAAACATGGGATATTGTTGAATTTTGAGACAAAAAATTTTCTGCAATTATGTTTAATTTGAGACAATTGATTTTGATCATCGTATTCATATTGGTGTAGATAATTTGAATATTGAAAAAATATTCTTATCGATCTGATACAACATTTACTCTTATTCGGTATCCTACGTTAACTGAGTCTAGTTAAAGAACTTGTCATTGTTTATTTTAAATTATTTGATTTTTTTTTATTAAAGACGTGCTGTCTCTTTCAACGTTATTCGAATATTTTTTTTTATCTAATTATATCCCGAAGACCTGTTCTTAAGAGTTATATCTGTTAACTTACATATGTTGATATTGATGTCGCCTGATGTTTATTCTAATTAAAATAGATTTCTATTCTCTAGAAGAACATCTTTACCGTAACTACATACATGCATACATTCATTCAAACGCTTTTCTAAACTATCCGTTTTTGGGGGAAAAATACATTAAAAAGGTGTAGGTGCGGGTGTGCGTATGAAAAACATTGCATGAAGAGACGTCCGGAGCTAAACCCACACCATACCCACACCTACCCACTCACATCCACATCCACATCCACATTCACATCCACACCACACATCCACACCCACCCATCCACTCACAGCTACACCCACCCCACATCCACCCACCCACACCCTTCGAGCGCAGCATATTTTCCTTTACATTTTGTAATCATTTTGTAGCTTTTGAAAAGTTCTATCTTCACAGAAAAAATGACGATGGCATTAAGAGCGATACTTAAGATCTTACGGACCATCCTATCCCATCAATGAGTTTTTCGGAAGAACCTGGACAGTGTGGTCTCTGGAAAATTTTCGAGCACAAAATATTTTCCTTAACGATTTGTGATCATTTTGTAGCTTTTGAAAAGGTCTATCTCCCATGAAAATAGGAGACTGATTTGGTAAACTTATGTGGTTAACCTGTGAGGGGGGATTCCGATATTGATAATGCTTCTGTCCTAGCTAGAAATGTTGAGAAGAGGTCTCGAAACATGGCGTCAAAGAGGTCCAGATGTTTTATTCTTCCTTAGAGGAAGATAAAATTCAACTTTATAAAGTGTTCTGAGATAATTTCAATTTAGGGCCGTTTTACGTGCAAACCCGCCCCCAGCTTTCAAACACTTTCGGAATTTCGATTCATTTTCTTTTAGATATCGAAACACACTGATTTTGCTGACGCGCTGAGAAAGTATGAGAAAGACCACTTTTCTAAATTCTAATGACTTAAGCTTCCAGAAATAGTCGCTAATCTGCACCATAAAAATACTATAAAAAAGGAGGGGTGGTCGGCTTTGGTGGTGGTAATTTTTACCATTTCTTTCTTCATGATAAGAAATGAAATAACAGCTGCTGATGTCTTTTTGTCAATATTATATTCAAAGTAATGTATATTTATGGTGGTTTTAAGTTAAGGTAAATGGTTTTCTTTACGAAAAAAAAATGATAAGCAATCTTGAGAAACTCAATCTGTTCTACTCACAATTCAGTAATATCTTTTTTCTTATACTGCTTTATACAAAAGACGCATTGCAAGAAGTGGCATGTTGTGCAAATAAAAGATAAAACGAAATCAAATGAGACTCATGATTTTTTTTTCTTATGAAGAAAAATTTATAGACGACAGGAGAGAAAATGACTTGCACAACTCAACTGCAACAAATGAAAAAGAGTTGTTTCCTGGAAATAGGACTTTTTGATAGATAATTTACCAAAATAGAAATCATCATTTAATGGTAGTAATTCAATAGAGCTAACATAATTACCAGATTTTCTTATCTTAGAATACTTTTGAAACAAAGGCATTTTTGTTATATTGAGGGCAGTAGTGTCAAATTTGAAACGTAAAGTTTCAAGTTTCATCTTTCATCTTTCAAGTTTCAACTTTCAATTTTGAACATTCAAGTTTCAATTTTTGGAGTTTCAGTTTTGAAGCGCTTTTCGACTTAACTATCATTTGCTGCGGAGATGTGCGCGTGGAATTGGTTTTCATTGTACGATCACTTGAACTTCCTTCGTGGCACTCTCACCTGATGCGCTGATGTGCGTGTAGAATTGTTTTTCCTTTTGCGATCCCAGAAATTCCTTTCGTGGCGCACTCAGCTGCTTCGTTGAAAATTGAAAATTGAAACTTGTAGTTCCAAGTTTTAAACTTGAAAGTTGAAATTTCAATGGAATTCAAGTTTGAAGTTTTACATATATGTTTCTGTCTGACGAGGGAACGTTCCCAAGTGATTAAAAGCTTTTGAGCTCATATGTTGCCCATTAGGTAGGGGACCACTAGATTAGAAAAACCTCCAAAGGATTCGTGCCCATATTGAGATTTGACAGAGATATCGAATTTTTAGTGGATTTTTCCTGCTGGACCCTAGTTCTACAGCAAAATCATATTTTCGAATTTCGANAAGCGATTGCATATGTATCGCTTCATTTCGTAGAAAATACAAAACTCAAAATTCTTAGTACTATTGAGAAATTTCGTAACATTAACCGTACATTTAACATGATTTTGACATGTATTTCTTGTCAAGAACTTTCATCATCTTTACCATTTTGTTCTTAAGAAAGGCCTTTTTGACTTTGTGAGAAAAACAAGTTAAGAGATGTTCACTTGACTAGTAAGAGATAGTTTTCGAGCAATAAAAAGATTAAAAGAAAAGAACAAAGTGAAAGATATAAAAAATAATCTTGCGACAGATAAAGTCACTAAACTACGATTTCGCTAATAGAATTAGTTGAAATTAGTTCTCGTAGAACAAGCATTGGTAAATAATACGTGAAAAATAAACGAATGAATTAGTGTATTACGACAAATATTTACATGGTTTTTTCATTGTTATTTACTTCTAAGAATGAATATCATAAAGTTTTTCATTTCCTTTGAGCAGTTTGTACATCAACATTGGAGGTCGTGTGTTTCAAAGAGAATGTCGAATATAGATTAAATTGACTTATTCTTCTATTTATATGAATCGGAAATTTTTTCCGCATGTACATATGTTCTATTAGTTTACTGAACTGAACAAAGTTCTATGAATTTTACGTTTCAGCTCGAAAGAGACTTTGCTGACAGGCTTTGTTTTTAATGCATTTATGCTTTGATATTCATTAGTTTCTTTGATATTTTGTTTTTACAAATCAAATCATGTTATGTCAGATATAAGAATAGAAAATGACTTTAATATTGCAAAATATGAAAAAATATTCGTTGAGTAAGTCATTGTTGTAAATAAGATTAAATGAAAATGAATTATTTCTTTTAACAAATATCGAAAATCATTTCACTATTGTGTATTATTTCTCTCTCAACATTGATTATTACAGAGTGTGTTCGGTGTAGAATAAACATGACTATATATCATGTAGATTTTCAGACAGATTTTATTTCTTCAACTAATTGAAATTATAATCTCAGTTTCGTTTGATAAGTCATTTATTAAGCCACATATGTAAAGAACCTTGATGATATTGATAAGTTACATCTCGTCGCAGCAGTGTGTACCATTCAGCTAGTGAATACAACGACAAAGTTAGTATTCGAAATGTGACACTCGACAAGTGTTGCAATCGCTCAAGTATCAAATATACATCAGTTGATGTTTTTGCTTCGATATTCAAATGTTTGACATGATGCGGTATCAATGAACAAAGGTTCTCCAATGATAAAGAATCGGTAGTAAATGGAGGCTCACAAAATATTTCAAGTGAACGAATATGATTTGTTTTTTTGAATAGATTGATTAACTTTTCTTCTGTTTTTGCAAAGTATTCTTCACGATCCGAAAGTACAATGCGAAGTTTTATGACTTGAGAAAGATCGACCAATTTCGACAAATAATTGAAGGAATCCAATGCATATTCAGATAGTTCGAGTTCGGCTATTCGACGAAAAAAGAATTGATTAGATTCTTCATCCTCAAAACAAAAAAACATATATGTTTAGCTTGTTTTATTACACATGCCATAACTCTTTCTTATAGTTTTCTAACAACGTTCGTACTTACGGAAACATTTTGAATTGTCTTAGAAATAACAACTGGACCAACGAAATTATATTCAAGTTCTGTTAAAATATCTGGTGTTGAACATAGAAGAATTTCTTCTTTCGGATAATCGTAGATACAATAGATAGGCCAATGTTTTTCGTTGAGCCAAAATGGTGTTCGAAATTGAGTTGCATTCATTTTAACAACACGATAGTTTTGTGAACGAAAACTAAATTCGAATTGATTTAGTGACAATAATTTTGTTCGAATCAATGTTTCCCATCTAGAACCATTGCATATAGCATCATCTGCACAACCTTCAAGTCTTAGGTGAACAAGTGAAGGTGTTAGGTAAAGAAAGGATTCAATTTTATCCATTGAGAAGAAAAGTTGTTGCATTGTTAATGAGGTTAGTTGTGGGTAAGTGGTCGAAAGATATTCATATTCAGTATGGATGTCTAAATTGAAATGACGTAGTACCATAGTTTGAAGATGGAGCAAATGACGAAGAATAGTACACAAGTCTTTGCGTGTACAATGATCGATTGTCAGATATTTCAAATTGGATTCTTTAGGCCATTGAAAACTGTCGATGTATAACAAATTATTTGTACATGTGAATTTTCGTAAAGTTGATCGTGACATAGTCGATAATAGAAGATTTAACATTGTATTTCGATGATTCAAAGAAGCTGATTATTTAATTGATAGTGAAATGAGTGAACAACGACTAGTATAATTTAGAATTTTATCTATATTATCATCATCGTTTGAAAAAACAGCTAGTGATCGAAGTCGAGTAAATTGATGGATGTCAAACAAAGAGAGAAACAACCCGACTTGACCTGGTGTCTCATCATCGTCAGATAAAAAAAGTGAGACAACATTTTCAGGACGAAGAATGTGGCACATATGATAAAAATCAGATTTCGAAATCCATCTCAAATCGACCACAAGTTTCTGGTAAGTGTTCGTAATTGTTCGTAGTCGAGTACATACATAACCAAGTGAGAGTAGTATTGTACGTGTATCGAGATAATCAAAAATACGTTGAAAAAGTTCGACCGGTAGAGTAAGAAATAATGATGAATTGTTGTTGGACATTGATACCTTTTTTCAATTGATTGAACTAGAATGGTTCTTATTCATTTATATATTTCACCAACGTATAGTTTCCAACTTCGACAAAAGAAGAAAAGAATTCTTTCACAATGAGAATTTGCCATGTGTCATATGTGTACTCAAGCTTTTTCAGGAAGAAAAACTTTCTTTCTTACACAAAATGGGTATATTTGGCAAACATACATGTCGCTGATGATTGGAATATTTCAAATATAAGGGTATCGCATCATCGCATGTTTAGCCGTAGACTATTAGTAGTACGTGTGTGGTCACGCTTGGTACGTATAACATAACGCGAACGTGATACACTCCAAGTAAAACTACTGAACATTATGCGTACTAGGCTTGAGATCCATTGGCTATGCTTATGATATGTTATGTTTCTCATTTTTTCCAATTGATACGCTTTCATGAACCAGTGAAAAAGAAAGAAATGTTTAAGTAACGTACCATGCTATTCAAAAAACCTTTCAGAAACAAGATATTTTTAAAACAATCATAACAACATATGTTTTGAACCGTGTGTCATAGTTTTGGTACAACTGTCGTTACAGTTATTATTTCTTGTTTTCGTTTGACGACGAACGCTAAGGCTTATGAAGTACAAGTGATTTGTTTTAAATGAAATAGTTGAACCATTGAATTTATCGTACTCCAAATCAACATTTTTCAATGAAAAGAAATAAGTATTATTTCATTTTCTTCAAAGCATACAGTAACTGAATAAATATAAATCTTTCTGTTCTTGACGATCTATTGTAGGGATTCAATGAATTACTGAAAGAAGTTCAACACTTTCCTTGTTTGATTTTTTTACCAAACGATTCGAAGGGTTCAATGTTTTCTCAAATACATTTATAGATAAGTACAATAACCTACTGGCGTTCGACAGTTGAATTTTGCGATTCATTACCATACATTTAGTCTTTCTTAGTGTTTATGCACGTTTTGTTGAAAGTGAGTTATTGTAAGTTATTAAAAAACATAAATTAGTTTTAATAATATAGGTTCAATTACATCACTTTCGATGAAACGGAAACATAATGAAGTTTCTACCAAAGAGGTACAAAGTCTTGAAAACCTAACCTTTGTAAAAGAAAGTACGCTTAACAAACTAAAACAAATCTCTAGAACTCGAGGGAAGATGTAAAAGCTTGTTAATAGAGCTGCTCATAAGTAAAAATGGGTAATTCAGTCACAGTTTACTTTGAGTTCTCTTCTTTACACTTTTTAACATACATTCCAAAGTATATGATCAACTGTATAATCGTCAAAAAGCTTCCATATTGTGTAATAGGTCCAATGAAAACTTGATTGTAATTCATCTCGACGCAATATTGGATTCATATTATTCTCTTTTCAAAAGTCTTGTTATTCATCAGCATATCAGTGAATTGAATACGACAGCTGAAAAAAGAGGGAGTGTTATATATGTTTCTAAAAGATATAAGAAAAATGACTAGCAGAAGAACAATTTTGTTAATTATCAGAAACTGATTTTTCACGATCAAGTTGAAGTATGGACATAGCAATACTTAGACAATTGATTCAGTGTTAACATGTAATACCAAAAATCATTTGACTTGTCAATTTTTTCCAGCTGTTGTGTTCTAGCATAATTACTTTATATCCTAAACAATCATTCGCCTTTATAGACTGTGAACAAAAGGATGAGTCTGGGCTGATGTGGATGTAAGGATGGGAGTGAACTTCGCTGCAGTGCACACCAAGATCCGACACATGCTCAAACTCATATAGTGCTTGTCAAAACCGAAAACTTACCTAAATGACGCCGTTTTTTTCCTGCTTTCTCACTTCTCTTTTCAGTTTGTCGAGAGACGATAGTAATATACCAAGCATTGATTGCAGTTGATCATTGACGTTTTATGAGGTAATTGCACAACTTTCTCTTTCGCTTTTTGACAAATTCGATGACAATAAAAATCAATTGCTTCATCTCTTGAGTGTGTGTAAGTGTGGATGATTTACTAATCCGACAACTCTCACGAATAAAGATGTACGGGACTAATTTCTTTTACTTCTGGTTCCGATCCCAGTCTTGTTCCAGTAACGTTCTTTTTATCCTGGTCCCAGTATCACTTATTATAGTTTCTCTGTTGTTTACTCAAATTTAAAGACGCTGTTGCATAATCTGTTGGTCTCGCATCTAGAATAATTCTTCAATACTCGTATTGTTTATTTTTCTTGTCGATCGCAGATATGTGCAGAACCAAAATTTTTTTATGGTGTCGATTCCAGTTCTGGTTAAGTTTTTATTTTTTGGTCATGCTCATCTTACTATTTTCGTCTCTTGGAGAATACAAGGCTTCTTTTTTAGCTAGTAAGGCATTGACAGGTTGCACGTAAATCAAGCCTGAATGTTTTGATTCTTGATTTTTTCATTGACACAATGAAGTTGTTGAGATTAAAAAAAAAAGTAATGAATGCAAATTTAAGAGAAAAATATTTTTTTTTGGTTGGTTCTTACTGAAGGT